GGCGGCGGCAACGGCGGAGGAGGCGGGGGCTGGGGCGGTGGTGGTGGTGGAGGCTGGAGCGGTGGTGGTGGTGGAGGCTGGAGCGGAGGCAATAGTGATCATGGAGGAGGGGGCCGAACAGGTGGCAGCCTCATCGATGTCTATGTGGTGAAGCCAGTCTACAGCGGCGGCGGAGGCCACGGAGGAAGCGGCGGACAGCAGTGGGGCGGTGGTGGCAATGGCGGCGGACAGCAGTGGGGCGGAGGTCATCCTTCCAGTGGCGGCAGTGGATCGTTTGCCAGCAGCAGCGCCAATGCCAACAGCTACAGCTACGGAGGAGGCGGCGGAGGCAACAACGGCGGCTGCAACTCGTGCGGCGGAGGAGGTGGAGGTGGAGGCAGTGGCAGCAATGCCTATGCCAAGGCCTCGGCCAATGCCTACGCAGGCAGCTGGTAGAATTCGGGATTGAGGATTCAGAAATAAGGCCAGGATTCAGGCCAGTGAATCCGTTCCCTTTATTTTTTTTGTCTAATATGTAAGCTGCTTGTGAATAAAGATATTGAAAAGCAAAGTGAAGTGAAGATCGGCAAATGGAGGACCACGCATCCGACCATGAGCACCATGACATCCGTATCCTGCAATTTCCATTGGATATTCCTAAAAACCGATCGATTGGATTGAGTCCAGTTGGGTGAAACAAGGACACAAAAATTACATAGAACACGAGAAGTCAGAAAAGGAGAACAATTAGAAGGTCCAGCATCCAGCAGAAACAAATTGGAAATAATTTAATAATCCATAGAAAACAAAAAAAAAATGACAGAATGGGAATTGAAATACGGGGGAAGCTTACGAAAATTAATAATGGATACATGCAATACGAATTTAGACACATACTGCAGTGGGGATATACAAATATATACATACATACACATGCGTATATATATATAGGAATTAAATCTGATGGGGAAAGAACAAATCGATGGAGTGGACTGAGGACCAGGATCAGCAGGAGCAGGCCCACACCGAGATGTCGGATTCCATCAAACTTGTTTCTCCTCGCAATGTGTTGTGCGCTCCTCCAGCCCCTCTGCTTACACTCTGTGTGCCGCTCCCGCTCCCTGACAACCCCGTAGCTTTTTCTCGTTTTCGCAAAAGTTAATAGTGACCATGCCCACATATCTGCTCGAAACCAGTTTTCCTTCTCTCTGCTCTCTTGCTCTCTCTCCTCTTTCTCTCTCTATCTCTATCTCTGTTTGCCTTTTCTGACTTTTGGCTGCGTAAAAATGTAAACAAGAAAAAGGAAAACAAAATAAACAATGAATAAAAATACTAGCGAAAAACCAAAAAACCGAAACATCGAAAAACGTGTTCGAAAATGCTGAAACAACTTTTAAAATTGGTGAAAGATGCATAAATATGTATGTATGTGGTAGTATGCTTATTTCTTTACTCTTTTCCGTCTGACTTGGTGCGTGGGAGAATCGAGTTTGAGCAACTGTCATGTGAACTGGAGAAGATCAATATCCGTCATTGAGGATTAGAGGATCAATGATGTACGAGTACGATCTTCCGTAGATCACTTGAACGTACGTAAACAGAACCACTCTACCTTCAATATGTACATACCCTGTAGTACTGGGCACTAGTTCGGTGGTGGTGATATGACCCGTCCCTAACAGACCACCACTACCCACTGGCCAAACCCTAAGCAATGCTATTCTTCATTTCCACTTTTACTCGCAATGTCCTAGGGCATGGGGACCAGCGACACCACATCGGTTACCCCCGAACTAGTGAAATGGGTACCCATCTGGTAGGTAGCAAACCCCATCTAAGGGGCAGTGAAATTGGTGCCCTACTAAGGGGTAGAAAAACTCGTGCAGTTGACAATTTCATTTATTTTATTTTTCTTATTTCCTTCTTTTTAAATTTCAGTATTTTCAGTTATTAGTATCAATTATTTGTATGTTGCAACTGTAGATTTTATATTTTTGAAATGTCTTTTTTTTTGCAGCTGAAGAGCTCTTCTTAGTTGTATTTCCGCTGTACAGTCCCTGCCTCTACAGTTATAGCATCTATAAATATAAAATTCAAATCCGTCTACTGGTGAGACGTTGCAGCCCCATCGATCTAGTTCGCTGGGTGGTACGCGGTGGGTTGTAAATTATACAGAGTAAAATTATTTTCTACTCTTTGAGTGGTTCGGCGTTCGCTTACCATAGGGTTACTTCGGTGGGTACCCATGTACGGACTAGCGTACTAGGTAGTTCGACAGCATCAATCGCCACCGCCAGTACTACAGGGTACATATGTAAATACACATGTTTACATACAGAGGAGCCTCTTCAATAGGAATTCCGCGTAATGGGGCTGGATAACTTACATACTACATATATGTATGTACATATGAATGTATGTAAAATTGAACGTGGAGAAGCTTTGGCGAAGCAATAGATAGTCCATGGGGTATCATTTGAAGGTTATTGCCGGATAATTGAACTACGATCTGTCATGGATCAGTTGAGCGTAGACGGAAATCGTTTCGAGCCTGGAAATTCATTCTCATTAATTCAAATTTCCCATAAGCGAAAAGGCTCATTCGATACGAAAAGCACGAGCAGAGAACATTCACGACGACTGATTTACTTTAAGTACATAACTCCAAAACTCATGCACTTCATCAATATACATACATAGATGTCAAATGTCCATTAAAGTAAGGTAGGAAAGTCTGTCTGCCAGTACCGTTTGATGCTTAGTTTTCAGAGCATTATAGCCATATGACATTGGACTTTGCTAACTGACTACTGCTGCGGCAGAATTTATCGAAAATTTTACTTTGCGGATACAATTTTGCTGGCTAGGTGTCAGGGTTCTGCTGGAAAACATCATTGTGTTTCAAGTAGTGCTTCAGCTGTTCTACTAAAAGCCATTAGAGGTGTCTAGAGACGGCTACGAACAGAAATGGAACAGCATTTTGGCTCTAGTGCTATCCCTCTCTACGCAGCAAAGTTGTCTAAGTCTAATGTCATATGGCTATTAGCAAGAGCAGCAGCATTTTGCGCAGGCAGACTCCTATGATATCACACTGAATTAAGGCAAATGTGAAATGTTCACCACGCCCCTTCCGCATCAAATCCCAACAATCTGGGACAGATATGAGAATATCGAATACGTAAAATTCTCTGGATGTGGAGCTTTAACAACAGAACTCCACTCTCGATGCTTGAACAATGGAAGACTGCACTGCACTGTCTGTTCCTTGTTTTACTATACTGGTTTTTTTTTTTAAGATGATGCTCCTTTCAGCTGACCCCAATAGACTCCATAGACACAAATTGTTTTTGTTAGCCTCAAGGCAGTTCCCTGCCTCAATAATACCCTCCATGGAATCACCATAAAATAGTTTTCGCAAACTTATATTCGGTATTTTGACGAAGATCATCTCTTTGCAATGCTCTCTTAAGAACATTGTCATATCTTGGTGTGAACACCAAATCCAAGCCATTTAAATACATACATTCGAGTATATAGATAGTCAAGAGAGAACGCCTCGAGGCCTAATCATCATAGCATTTAACATTTCGATATGGTAGTGCTCTTCGCTACCGAGTTTCTTTCGTTGCAATTTGATTTGAAAGGTTATTGATCGATTCGCATCCCAGATTCTTGACAACTTCTTCACCTTCTTCCCCCGTCACACTCCCATCCCATCTCATCCTCCGTCAGTGGCCCCGGGCCAGCAGCTGCAGATGAGCCGGATTCCTCTTCCATCTACTGGAAAAACTCGTTTCTGGTTTTCCTCGAGCGTTGAGTCGAAACGTGGCCTCCTTGTCCCCTCCTTGTCCCCCCCCTCCCCCCTTGTCTCCCCACTGCCCCACTGCACACTTTTGAGAAAGAGGGATCATTGAGTTTTCATCTCCTCTTTTCTCTCCTTATCTCTATCTCTCACTTTTGTTTGGATAAAGTGAGCTTTTCCTTAAATTGGTAACAGGTTTTTGGTCAACTTAGCCAATTGCAAGTCCCCGAGCATTCCCTCTGCTCCTTGCCTCCACGGAGTGCAGAAAGTTTTTCTTGCAAACGCATTCCGGGAGACACATACTATGGAGGGGAGAGACAGAGAGAGAGAGAGAGAGTGAGCAGTGGAGTGGGGTGCAGGGAGGTGTCGTGAGTGTCACCACTTTGTTACCGTACCCAGTTCCGTTCCCATTTCTATTCCCATTCCCGTTGCCGTTCCAGGCCATTGGACGGCATTCCAAGATCCAGTTCCACTTTTGATCGAATTCTCTTCGGCTTGACTCTTTGAGTGCAGTTCGTACGAAAGAGGCGTGGCGATCGGCCGTTATTAGAGCGGACTGCAAATTGGGAAAAACGGAATTAGAAAATAATTGGAGAAAGGAGCTATTAGAGATGGGGCAACGGGACGGGGATGAAGAATACGAACAAAGAAGGGAAATCAATTTGAAATTTTCTTTCAGACGGCACAGTCAGTCACAGTCACACAACTGTAAAACCAGTTGCGATGTGGAGGTCCTAAGTGGCTGGCGATCATTTGACATTTTGTCGCCTTCCACACACTCGTGAGCTGGAACGAGGGGCAAAAAGAATAAAGCGAAAGGCCAAAGCAACTCAAGCTCTGAAGAGGGGAGGGGGAGGGGAGTCGACTGGCACACGCACGAGCTGCGGAGACTCGAGACTTCGGTTTCGTCAAAAGTTAGCCAGTGGAACGTCGAGAGAGGAGACGGAGCACAAGCACGATCGGCCGAATGCGAAGGTAAATAGTAGAGCTTCAAGGGAGAAGTGGGGCCACACGCATGCAACAGCTAAGGCTGGGCTGGGCTGGGCTTTGGCACAAGAAACTCATAGATGGACGACCGGGGGGACTAGGGGGAGTTGGTTGAGATAAACTTGCACACGCACGAACAGCCAAGCCAAGACTTCGGCTCGTCTTCGTCGTCGTCGCTTCGTTCGTGTGACCGCAGCAGCGACTGCGACTGTGACTGAGGCGAGCCAAAACCGCACTTGCCAGTCTTCGGTTCGAGCTCAGTCAAGTCGCATTCAGAGAAAGAGGCGCAGGCGCAGCCGAAAACGAAAAAACAGACAGCGAGATACACAGTGTTCATAGAGTCGTTCTCTCTCTGTCCCTCGCCCAAGAGACCCAGACGAACAGCTCGAGTCGCGAGTGTGGCATTGCTTTTGGACCAAACTGTGCGTGAAATTGGTAGACCAAATCCAAAATTAAAACTGAAATCGAAATCGAAATTAAAACCTCCAACCCAAAACCGAAGACAAAATATTAAAACAGAAACCGAAGAACCGCAATTCAAAAGCAGCTTCCAGTCGAAAGCTCCAGCAAGAGTTCCAGGCTGGAAACCCTTTTGGGGCGTGTTTGATTTTTTTTCGAGTTTAATTTTTTGCCGTGTTTAATGTTAAGTTAATAAAATTGTCTTTGATTCGATTCGTTTTAGCCAAAACAAACAACGAATTTGAATTTAACATTTGATCTTGCTGAAAAGGTGAGCTGCTCCAAAACAAAACAATTTTTGATTAAGTACGTATTTATGGCGGACATTTATTGGCCTTAGCTTGGTCCCAACTGGTTGTTAACAGGGTCTAAACTGGTCTAGGAGCTTGGCTCAATGTCAGTGTTTGTCTTTCGAGCGTCGACTATCGATTGTCTCCCCACTTATCGACTTCAATCTCCGTCCGCCCAATACTGCGGCCCCCCTGACCATTGTTTTACCATCGGAATTAGCTAAATATTTGCTTTGCTCGTATCTGCGGAATACCAAAGAGATCTTAGATCTGTCTAAGTATTCAAAAAATCAACCACATTCTTTGGGACAGCTCTCGAAGTCTTGGGCATGTGAATGGAATACAGAATGGGTGGCCGAGTGGAATCGATATGAATGGACTATATTGTTCGAGTATCTGTTGTCTTGAGCGATCTGTCAGTCCTGTTCTATAGATCCCGTTCCCGATATCGGTCCCGCTCTCTCTCCCATAACTTCCATTGTTGGCTTATGTAATTTATGATTATCCATTCGCCCAATCGATCCCCCAGCGGTTCTCTCTCATCTGAAATTCCATGCGTGCACACACGACCCACAACGATAACAAAAAGAAGAAAAGACGTCTTAAGGTCATTGCTCAAAAACATTTAAGATTCAGCTACAGATTCAGTTGCAGACGCAGTCTCTGCTTCGGATTGGGTTTTTTGTCTTAAGACTACTTACGACTTTTGTCAGACTTGTCGACTTGGGAATGAGTTTCGGGTTGGGTTTTGTGGAGAGAGATAGAGAGAGATGGCTCTCTGGCTCTGAGTCGGGGGTTCTAGCTGGGCTTCTGATTTAGACATCAAAGACAGACCTCTTCACGCCCGAGTCTCTTCGCTCTGGCTCTTGGCTTCATTTGAATTGACTTGACTTGTCTCGACTTGTCGTGACTTGACGTGACTTTATGCGGGCTAATTGAATGCCATGGAATACTCTAGCCCATGGTCTGGAAAGGGGTTACTCAGCTAACTGAAGGGGCTGGTCATTGTTGTCGTTGGGGGGCTGCATAAGATCTCCCCATGTCTCTTCATTCTTGGAACTCATTGGCGAAGCCCTCTGCGGAAACAAAAGTTCTTTCAATCATCTGTACAGAAAGACACGAGCGGGGGGTGGGGCCAGCACTTACGATCTTCACTGACTCTCTCAGAAGTGCATCGACGATTCGCTCTCAGATTCTGCTCCGTCTCTGAAATTGGTTTGTATTCGTTTCTGTTTTTTTTTAGGTATTCCATGTCTTATGCTCAGGCGAATGGAATCAGAGGGCGGGGTAAGAACAGGTGAGTGGAGAGATCTGATCTGTAGGTAGAGCCTAGCCTCTACAGTCTAGAGTCGAGTCTGCAGTCTAGAGACAGAGAGATCACTTACTCGTACCAAGCTGCCCAAGCACGTGTGAGTTTTTTGAGTGTGTTTTTTCGCTTCTATTTTCTGTCTTGTTGGCTGGGACTGGCCTCAGCCTCAGTCTCAGTCTCAATTGGAGCTTTATTAGCTTTCGGCTAGCGAACGAATACTTGTGTACATAACACATATCTATGTACATATGTATGTAAGTATCTTCACTTTCGGTCCATCCTGGTGGGTCACAGTCAAATGATTTCCATGTTTTGCCCAAAGAGAAAGCGATTTACCGATCGAACTGGAGTCGGGCGGATTTTTCCGCAGATTGGCGCTGCCCTATGCCGTCTGCCTGGCCGGGGATCGATCCTAGGACCAACCGCTAACGAAGTTCAAATCCGGCAAGACAAAAGTGAAATTTAATAAAGTAAAGAAAGAAGAAACGAAACGAAACGAAACGAAAAGACAAAACCTGAACAAACCGACAAACAACTTCGGACTTGGGCTGGGGACGGGGATGGGGACTATACAATAATAATTGGCGGAAAGAGCCACGACAGCAACACCAACAGCCACAAATAGGACGCTTGAGTAGCTGGCACTCGGCCCGAAATCGATCCAATCTAATCCAATCCAATCCCATCCACTTCCCTCCTGAGCCAATCCACCTCAATCCAATCCATCCATTCCAATCCAATCTAATCATGTGAAAACAACAACACAAAGCCAAAAAATTAAGCACTAATTAACCGACTGCGATCAAGAAATACACTGCCACAAAAGAGTATTGTGCTTATTGTGGGGAACACTGCAAGAATGATCCTACTTTAAGACTAGAATAGAGTTATCGGCACGAAAAAACAACCAAATTAAATGGGGTTAGAATATTCTTTCTATCCGCTTGTCACGCCTGTTCAGAGCCACGAGCTCTGAATGTTGAGGGGTCGCCAAACTGAACATTAAACGCACTTTCTGATCTCGCTAAGAGTATAATTTTGGCGTCAATAAATGAGGATTGTCCTGTGGTACTGGCCTAAGAGCAAGGGTATTCCCAGTTTCGTTGTTGATCGATATATTACGTGCCAGCTCCATTCGTTAATCGAATCGAAATGGAAATCAAATTGGCCTCCGCGGAGCCGTCAAAACAAAATGGGAAAAACAGAGAGAGAGAGGGATGGCCACAAAAGCAAACAATTAGGCATGTACAAAAAGAGAAATATGATTAAAATTCCCGGGGCATACGCAGATCAGACCCCACACTCCGCCCCAACCTGTGTGTGCACCGTGCAGCCCACCACCTCCAAGAAAGGAAAGCGATCGGAGCAGAGCGGGGGCCAATCGATCGACAACGAATATGTGTGGCTTCAAATATTTTTGCAATTATATTGAAAGTGTTTTCGATTTTTTCGCTTGCGTGACAGAGCTGGATGACAGGTGTTAATTTTAATGGGAGTGGCATACGATTAAATATTGCTATTGCTGCTGTCGATAATCATGTTTGATTAACGCTCAAGTCAGCAAAGTTGGAGCCGAGGTTGTTTGACTTTTTGAGGTTAACAACTAAAGGGACTAACAGTAGCTTGGATAGAAAGAATTTGAACGAAGCCACGCTATTGCGAACATAAAGTGACTCGATTCCTTGCCAAGGAAAGAGTCAGTAAACAGTTCCAAAATATCTAGACTTGTGAGAGGCAAACATCTGTTTTTATCTCTTCTGTTTCATAACATAACATATTGTACATAGAATGTACATACATACATACATATGATTGTACGTATAACGTTTTAGTGAAACACTTTTCATTGTTTGTCTAGTTTTGCATCGCACAATAGAACCCAATTGTTCAATACTTACCTACTAATAGAGCTTTATTATGATTTTAGCATACCATCTTATGTGCCGTGTAGCTGTAGCCGCATTCCATTCCATTCCACTCCGTTCCGTTCGTTTTGTTTCGTTCCGTTCTATTGCATTCTGCTTTGTTATCAATTGGTGCAGTGCATTTTCTCTCCTCTCACTTCTTTGGAATTTGAAGCGTGACAATCGTGACATTTGCGACATTTCTCTCTCTCTCACACTCTCTCTTTGTCTCTGTCTCTGTTTGTCCGGTCCGGTCCATATCTTCTTCGTTTGCCATACGTCCTGGAAACATATGTATACGTACATATGTGTCCCTGCCCCGGGCGCAGTTCCAAGCAGTATAATATGCAGATACAAGATGCTGAGAAGGCTGTGCAAATCATGGCAAAAGGTAATGCAAAACAAAAACAATAAAACTTGCTGTGGGGCCAAAAAGGAGAAGAAACAGAATGAGCTGCTGGTGTTTTTGTAGCAGAAATAGCTTTGAAAGTGGCACAAAGTAATTTTAATGCTGAATGGAGCGTAAAGTTGTTCAACTGCAATTGCAGTGGAGTAAGCTGTTGCTGTTTTTTTTTTTGGTTTTGGTTTTGGCCAACAAAACAAAAACAAAATCAAAACCAAGTGCAGACGGTCGGGCAGGCAGAAACACAGAAAGACAGAAAGACAGAAAGACTGACTGCCCGACACATGACGACATTGCATTGGCTTTTGTTGCACTGATTGTTTTTTTGCTTTTTTGTTACCAAACCTCCACTTGATTCGTTTGCTTTTTGCACGGACGGAATCAGAATGGAATACATTTGCATAATCAAAAGGAATCAAATCAAAGCGAATACCACCCATCGAACCTGACCGAATCAATGAGCATCTGCAAATTGATCGTAAAGTGTTTAAGTTTATTGATCTATCTTGCTCCCTTCCCCACCCTACCAACAACAACACAACCCGCACCAGCACCAGCACCAGCACCCCGTGGAATTTGCATCAGAAAGCGGATAGAGAGCCCAAAGTGGGGACGGATAATGGCCAGGGAAATGCGGTGATATTGATGATAATGATGATGAGGTAATGGCCAAGAAGAGCTAAAGAAATGCTTAAACCCCTTTTTGATGACAAATTTAAGCATCCGATTGGTCAATGGAATATGAGTGATATCCAAACCGAATCGAATCCGCAACGAATGGGTGAGAAATACACTCTTTGGAGGCAGCGTGAGAAGACTTGCCATTACCTCATCGACTGCATCAGCCACCCCAAGATTACGATGATGCCCTCCCTCCCTGTATGATGTGAGTGCAGGTGAATCGAATTCAATTGCAATGAGTGCATTCACATTGGAAATGCAACCGAAAAGCAGAGTTACAAAATTCCCAGTCAGTGATGTCTGAAAACAAAACGGATCGAATTCCACTGTTTCGAGGGAAAATTCATTTCTAACGTAAATCGATCTTAAGGTACATTGCTTACGTCTGCATTAAGCTTGTATAACCTGCGGATGGGATCCACAAATAATTCATCAGAATATTAAAAAGTCGAATTCAAAGTCTTAAGTTCTCTATTCCAGTCGATTCGACTAAGAATGATCTAAGAGGGATGACAGAAATTTCGAAGAAGAGTATCCACGCTCTGTATGTATTAATTTGAAATTAAAATTGATTTAAAAATCCTATGACTGCATGGTTCTCAATCAATCCTCCTTCCACACCCAAAACAACATTCCTATTGGGGGCAAATGGTGTCATCTGCTTTGCCCCATAGCCCCTACTCC